ACATCAGGCGCCATGCTCAGTGGGGAGTCTGCTTGAGATTTTCTCTCTCTCCCTCTGCCTCTCCCGCCACTGGTTCACACACTCTCTCTCTCTCTCTCTCAAATAAATAAATCTTTTTTTTTTTTTTTTTTTTTTTTAATGCAGGGATGGGGACTGTTAGTTCCTTCCAGGGTGAGAATAATGACTGGCAATTAAAATATTAACCAATAAAGACCAAACTAAATGCGGAGGTGTTGGGGGGAAGAATCCTACATGAAATACAGTCAAAGGCTCTCCTCTGACCTTGGTTCCTAAAAAGGTTCTCAGTCCTAGGAAGTTACACTGAATATTCCATGTCCCTCTTTACCCCAAAGAGCTACAAGGGTCCTTACCTTTGGAATAGCTTTCTAAGTGGGATTCCAAATTTCTTTGGTTATAGGAAAAAACTATTTTTCTCATCTATCTATTCATTTACTTGCTTCTTTATTAGTTCATTCATTTCCTCCACTCATTTTACAAAAGTGCAAGCTTGATCAGGTGGGATTTTTCTGTTTGTTCACTTAGAACAGTACCTGTCACATAGAAGGAACTCAATGAATATGAATTTTTGAGCTAATTCATCTTTTCATTCCTCAAAAGTTTATAAAATGCCTACCACATGACAGGTTCTAGATATCCAATATTAAAAAGAAATTTCACTATAAATAAAATAAAACCAACTCATGAGAAATCTTTAAATTAGAGGAATCAAGCAATATTTTCTCATTCTAAATTCAGTCTAAATTTAAACTAAGAAGATAATTCCCTGCCCTGCTCCAGGAGAATGGGAGGGAAAAATGTAGACAAGTATGGCACATGTCCCAAAATGATATAACACATAACAAAACTCTGGGGATAAATGAAACAGCTGGGTTGTGGGGGTAGCTATCAAAAGGTAGCACGAGGGATCTTTATAATGATGGAACAGTTCTATATCTTGACTGGGACAGTGGTTACACAAATTTATACATGTGATGAAATTACATATAACTACATACACACACACGAGTGCATGTAAACCCAGAGAAATCTGAATAAAGTTGGTAAATTGTACCAATATCAATTTCTTGGTGTGATACTGTGCTATAATTTATAATTATGCAAGATTTTACCATTGAGGAAAATGATTTCTTGTAACTGCATACCAATCTATAATTACTTAAAGATAAGTTAACAAAATAGAACAGGAGAATGCTTATCAAAACATTCTTTATATTGGCAAAACATTAGAACTAAGATAAATGTCCAATAAAGAAGTGAACCTACATGACAGTATGTTAAGTAATTAAAAATAATACAATTCTATGTTTATAACATGGAAGGGTGTTCACCATTCAGTAAGCAAAAGAAGCAGGATTTACAAAATATGAGAGTACAACTGAATTGTGTTAAAAAAATATAGAGCAAAAAAGAAAAAAAAAAGTAAAGAGTATTTGTAAAGATGTGCACCAAAATGCCATCATTGTATGTCTCTGTGTGGGATCATAGGTGATTTTCTTTTTAATTTTGCTTCTTCGTATTTCTTAATTTTTCTTTTCTAAAATGAACGCTATTATTACAAGAAGAAATATCTAAAATGCTGTCTGTGCTGTGTATGGGGCTCAGGTGAATTCTGTGTGCTCTGAACAAAAACCAAGAAAAGTGGGAAGATTACATGGAAAGCCATTTCTGTTCCATTTAAGTACCAGTGAGGTACCTGCAAGTGCCCATGACTTCCAGTGGGAATGGTGTTCACCAGGGCCTGGTGAATTCCCTATTAGTAATTATGTGGATAGGAGTCTGGTTTATGCACCCTGGGAGGTTGGACCCAGCTGCTTTCCAATTTTAAAACTCTGTGCCATTTGATTTTACAATGAATTTAACAGACACCACCTTCCATTTCAAAAGCCCCTTTTATGTTTCAAAGCACTTTCACATATGCTGATTTATATTCATTTCAGTTCAGTACTTTAAAAAAAAATCCTGCCTGTACAACAATTCTATAAAGTAGGCAAGGTAGTTATTATCACCTCCATGTTACTGAAGAGAAAACTGAGGTAACCAGGGAGTGATCTCCTTCATGTTATGGGTGAGTTAACATATCCCACCTCCTTTCTCTTGACTCATGGCCCCACCTCTCCGTCCTCTAACACTGTACAGCCTCTCCCTTCCCACAGGGTTTGGAAATAGATAGACTTCGCCTGAAGTTGCTTACATGATGCCTGCCAAATTGAAAGAAAAACAATAGGGTGCCTGGGCCGCTCAGTCAGTTAAGCGTCTGCCTTCAGCTCAGGTCGTGATCCCAGGGTCCTGGGATTGAGCCCTACGTCAGTCTCCCTGCTCAGCAGGAGAGTCTGCTTCCTTCTGCCCCTACCCCTGTTCGAGCTCTCTCTCTCTCACTCTCACTCTCAAATAAATAAAATCTTAAAAAAAAAAAAAGAAAACCAATAATCCTTGGCACAGAGTGATAGTAAACACTGACAGGGACATAACCCATCTTATTTTTTTCTAACTTATGTTGACTCAGTTAATGTCCAGTAACCATATGTAATTTCATCACATGTATAAATTTGTGTAACCATATGTCAACTCGGCTTAAAAATCAAGATTGATCAAACCAGTTGGTTGACTTGAACAGCACAGGAGGCTCCTGAATCTAATTGGGGTTGTTGGTCAATATAATTGCCCTGTACCTGTGTCCACATAGTCCTGGGAAGGAGCACATAAGTGGCGCTTCTGGGCCAGTTAAATGGTGAATAGGGTCCATATTGGGCTTAATGAAGCAGGGCTTTGTTACTTTTACCAAAGGAATTAACAGAAGAATTCTGTATTTATTTTGCAGTGGCAGAAGATTAAGCACTTGAGCAATAATGTGGCAATTCACCAAAAGAGGTCTTAGTTAGGTGCTATCTGAAATCATGAAATTAAGTGGGAAAACATACACACAGAAAAGGTTTATATGTTTAAGAAAAATAAATCCAAATTTTAGATAAATGATACTCTTCACAAAGTATACTAAACAAATGACATATTTTCATTGGCTGATAGCGTCATTTACACACATATATCATTTTCCATGGGCCAAGTCCTCCTGAGTGCCTCTCCTCTCAAAAACTCCACGAAAGTCGTTATAGGAGGAAACAGAAGGGCCAGCAATGTTAAGGTCATTTCCCCTAAATCACACAGCCGCCAAGTGGAAGCAATAGGATTCCAACCTCGATCTGACTCCCAAACCAGTGTGCTTCACCATTACTTGCTCTCCCAAAACGCTGAAAGTATATGTCCTTTTTATAAACAGGAAGTAATGGAAGTTTCCTTACAAAGGCATAATAAATCACTCCAAGAGACAGAGTTAACTTGGGAAAAGCTGGAGAACAATGAGAGAAACTAGGCTGAACATCACACATCACCACATACAAGGTGGCAGAAGTGGGACTGGTGAATGGAAAAGAATAAAGCTTGATGGAATCAATGTACTGCTACTGTTAATAAATTATTGATCAAGCTGGTAATGTCACAGATGTTTGAAATACTTTTCTTCTTAGCTACATAAAATCCAGTCTTCACATTCAATCTATTCACTCATTCAATAAACAATTACTGAGCATTTACCATATGCTGGGCACTGTTCTAGGCAGTATGATAACCACGGTGACTCAAACTGATGAAAGTTCCAGGCTTGGTGGAATTCACATAAGCTCCATGAAAATAAGACAGTAGAAAAGGGAGATTTAGGTAGAAGATTTCAGTTTTAATGCTGGCCAATGGCCTTAAGCAAATTACTTGAAATCTCTCTGAATCTCAGTTCCCTCACTTCTAAACTGAGGATAATAATATCTATTTTTATTATGTATTATTTTATTAGGAAAAATGCAAGTTTATGTATAAAAAAACTACTTATTCTTTGGTCTTGAAGAAACTGAGGTAGTTGACAAGGAATAAAAGTTTTGTCCTCATTATTAAATCCTTCAAAATATTTCATTCCATATTTTCCATGATCTAAGCTTTCTGGGTTTAATGTTAACCATGTGTAAGACTTGTGGGGTCAGGATAAGGTCATGCTTCCATACCTAGCCACCGATTTCAAAGTCTATGTTACAGGCTTAAGATGCCATAATTATGTACGTTTCCCTTATTGTGGAAGGAAGTTAAATTATATCTTAGTGATTATCTTAACTTACATACAGAGATGCTGCTTCTTGCCTACTTCTTTAGGAATAGATCCATAGCCAAGTGATTGTTTCTAAAATCTTTGAGTAATTTTCTTTCCTATGTTCTTCCATGGTGATATTTCATTGTAAGAATGAAATAAGAGCTAGGTGGAGATGGGTGTGTCACAGGCCCACAGGAAGGATCATTGCCCAGCATGAGGCCACACTTTATTGATTAAATCGAAGAAAGAGATTGGTTCCAGTCTCCCCCTACCCCTCACCTACCCTACCCTGGGGTGAGGGGGAGGAGGGGGCAGGGGGATTTCCAAGTCTGTTTTTATCAGACCAGCAAATCAGAGTCCTTGCTTTCTAAACAAAGAGGTGCCAACCTTGAGACTCTATGAAAGCCAACACAAGCAACGCATTGTACACATGTGAAAAGAATATAATTAGCAAAGTTATAGTCACAATTAGGAAATACCTCCTCAGAAAAGTTTCCACTTAACTCTGAGCAGCACTCAAATTACTATTGTGCTTAACGAGGCCGCTGTCTCTTGGCCAGTTCAGACCTTTGAGACAAATCTAAGAATAACAGCACCGTCCACAAAACACAGACACACAAAATTTAATGCTGGCTTTTTTTTGTGAATAACAGATACGAAAAATGTGCAAAATGGGACATGGAAGCTATAATTAAAAAACATAAGAAGCATAGTCATGGAAATGAATAGTTAAGTGTTGGCTAAATTATTCTTTCTTCAAGCTCTTTCTTTGTCTTCTCTAGCCTTCCTTTCCCCATCCCTAAAGGAAAGTTAGAAAAGAGAAACCAGGAAAACAAAAATGGGTACTCACTTCATCTCCAGGATCTCCTCCAGCTGTTTTCTCCTTTCTATCCGGAGGTTGGCTAAATGCGCTTCTTTTTCAGCCAGGGACTGCTGCGTGGAGGCCAGGCGTGCCTTGGTGGCATCCAGTTCCTGTCGGGTCTTCTCCAATGCATTCATCAGCTCCTCTATCTGAAAGGCACGTGGAATGTGGTGTGTTATTTCTCCTTCATTCAAGCACCAGGCCTTCCTTGCTAGCCTGTATTCTGACAACAGACACAAAGGAATCATAGCCATCCTTGAACTGGACACGCGTCTTAGAGTCCATTCTTTCTTTGTCACTGGTTGAAAGTAAATGTTTCAAACACAAGAAATGTCCAAATTTCTCCAGGGTCCTCATTCAATTGGATTGTCCAATAACCTTTATAGAAACATTTTAATATATTTATTAGAAGTGGAAGGTAACAGGCTTGACCCAATTTCAACCTGTGTTTGGCAAAAATCTCAGATACTGCCTCATAGTTGGTGGAAGGCAACACTCAAAATGCATTTGCCCAGCACAATATACTTTTCTGTGTAGGCCACAGAGTATTCTGACAGGAAGTTAATCCACATGTTTCAGATTCATTCATGTTTTAACCTATCAAAGCATTGTTTGGCAAAAGCGATTTGATGTCCAAGGGGCCTCAGGAGCCCCCTCTCACCTCACCTCCCTGCCTCACATTCAGGAAGCAAGGTTTGGCCGAAGGTAAACAGAATTTCAGCCACAAAACGTTCAAGTTTGGTTTGCCCCTGAAGTTTGAGAGGGTTCTAAACTTGAAATAAATGACATGTAACTTTTATAGGGTGCTAATACACCATAGAAATAAGCCAGACTATCAAATATCCAGGATTTTTAGCCAGGTCCCAAAAAATTGGACCAGGGAGCCCCAAGGCAAGGCCTTATCCTCCCCAAACCATTGGGGGCTTTTAAAAGCCAACACACAACAAAGAGAGCTGGTGTTTACGGTTCTGTTCCACAGACTTCCGTGGAGCAAGCCAGTGAAATGCCATCCCTTGCACAGATGCAGGCCACATCCACCCTGCTGATTTAAAACCATGGTTCCAGGAAGCTTCTAGATTCCAGGGTTGATATTTGGGTTTCTAAGTCACCCCCCTTCCAGCTGAACTTGGCAGAATGGGATCATCCATCACTAAAGTCAAAAGAACGCCCTTCAAAATGTGTCAATGACATGTTAGGTTCCAATTCATAAAGACTTTCTACACAATTTCTTCAGTTTTACATGGAATTTTTTCAGAATAAGCATTATAGTTCACATCCAAGGTAAATTACATGCTTTTAAGATTCAGAAAACCCTCCATTTTTCCCTGATAAAAAGAGGAATTTGATGACCATATAATGTAAATCAAAGCCAAAACCAAAAACAGTTTAAAAAGCAAGGAATATGAGGGTTAACCATGAAAGTCCCAGAACCACACCTGCCTAATTGTAGAATAGTTTTATTCTTTAACTTTAGAAATATACAAAATTTAAAAAGCAATTGTAATATTTATTTCTCATATAAATTTATAGAATATTATAAATATGACTAGCAGCCCTTCTACAAAGCAATGCTTTGTGAGCCTGAAACAGATATTTTTCCTGCCCACCCCCCCCCCGCATTTTTGATAGCAGTGTAAAAAAAGATCAAAATTATGGTCATTCCAAGTGCCAACTCAGATTCAGTTTGCCTAACCCTCTATGAGATGGACTGTGTCCTCATGACCCCATTTCCTTTCATAAATCACTCTCTATTCAAAATGCACTATTGATCTCAGAGAAGAGGGAGACTATCCAGGATTCTCACCTGCTAAATCTCTCTCTCATTAAGTTGAAGCTGATCTGTCTGTAATCTGCAGACACAGAGATACTCAACTGGGTTTCCCAGTGCTTAGTTCACCTGCCACTTTACTGCTTGGGGCCAGCCCCAGCTAGTTTTATATTAACCCAACTTTAACAATTATACTTTAGAGTAATGACTTGCAGTCTTCCTTGGTCATTTCAGCAATAACCACATAGAGAAACCTGAGCACCTAAGAGATGCAGTCCCGAGTTTTTACTGATGGAGATGTCACTGGCTTCCAGCATCAGTAACTCCTAATATGAGGTGAGACTGCTATTCTCAACACATAGCAAGCAGAGTCTCCAATAGTTTCCTAGGCCAAGGACTATAATTCCTCCAAATTCACATACCCCAGGCCAATGAGTATTGTACGTTGAGGACCACTCGGGTCACTGGCCTCAGATACACAGTTCTAGTCTTCACACAGCCACTGTTTCTCTCTGTGACTAGTCTCAGTTTCCTAGTGATGCCCATGATACCTCCTGTGTTAAACACCTAGAGTTCTGCAAACTATTTCCTTTGCTACCAAAGCAGGAGCATTAAAAAGCAAGAAATGTTTTCCCTGTTGTGGTGGTCATTAGGGTGGTTCACAATATTCCAGTTCTCCTCCTTAGGGGCACATGGTAGGGCCACATTTTGCCTAATGGGGGTGAGGTTTTGGCCAATAAAATCATTGTCATTTCCAGGTAGAAGCATTTCAGTGCTAGTACTTAAGCCCGACCTTCCCTTTTCCTTGTGAAGTGTGTTTCAGATGATCCTCCATCAGCCTGAGTCTCAGAGTGACCACAATGAAGCCCAAGGCCAACCCACATCACATAAGCAAGGTATAAACCTCTGTTGTACTACACCATGAGATGATGGGCTGTCTGTTACCCCAGCCTGGCCTGGGCTGTCTTGACTCGTAAGCTGTCACACTTCTTATCAAGTGCCCTAAATCTGCCTTCATCTCCCCACCACCAGTCCCCTCTCATCAAGAAAGAAAATTGCTTTTCACTTTTGCTATCCCATGGAAACTCTACACTTGCAAGCCATTGGTACCTTCCTTCTTGCCACATGTCTTTTTTTTTTTAATATTTTATTTATTTATTTTAGAGAGAGAACATGAGCAGAGGAAGGGGTAGAGGGAGAGGTACAGGCAGACTCCCTGCTGAGCAGGGAGCCTGACTTGGGGCTCAATCCCAGGACTCTGAGATCATGACCTGAACTGAAGGCAGATGCTTAACCGAGTGAGCCACCCAGGCGCCCCCCACATGTCTTTTCTTAATGTATCGTTTGCACAGCCAACTTCTTCCCCTCATTTGACATAACATTTTAGCTGGATATGTGTATGTAGCTTGTGCCTTAAAAATTAGGACAGACTAATAAGAGGAAGGATTAGAATCTTAGCTCCATCACTTACTATGTGACTGACACAAGTTCCTACATCTCTTTCAGAGTCAGTTTCCTTACCAGGAAACAGGGGACCATGCTGCTTATTCTATTCCATATTTATGGGCATTAACTGAGATGATGTAGCCTATACATTATTTATTCTTCTTCTAACTGATGTCAATAAAATGACTTTTCTTCTAATAATGAGAATAAAGTACACTCATCATACAAATTGTAAAAGATACAGATATAAAAATTTAAAATTTCTTTTTATTTACGATTAAATAATGACATTCTTTCTCATTAAGATCACCCAAAATCGGGGCACCTGGGTGGCTCAGTTGTTTAAGAGACTGCCTTCGGCTCAGGTCATGATCCTGGAGTCCCGGGATCGAGCCCCGCGTCGGGCTCCCTGCTCAGCAGGGAGTCTGCTTCTCCCTCTGACTCTCCCTGCTCTCATGCTCTCTCTCTATCATTATCTCTCTCAATAAATAAATAAAAATCTTTAAAAAAAATCACCCGAAATCCCACCACCTAGAAATAAACACTCTACACATTTTGTTATAATTTCTCCTTCTCTCTCTCCCGCCATGGGCGTATGCATGTGCGTGTGTGTGTGTGTGTGTAACTGGGATGCTACATACAATTTTCTAAATAGTTTTCAATAAATGTATCATGAGAATTTTCCTCTTGTCATTAAATAGTCCCTTGTAAACACAGTTTAATGGGTGAGTGGGGTTGTATCCACCCACCATTTTCCTAAAACCAACTCTTCCCTTGAGTTCTCTGAAGGTCTCTTTTAGATTGGAAAACTATTGCCCATGTTTCTTTTGAAATGCTTCATCTTCCTGCAGACTCTAGTTGGATCCTTCCTCTTATTACTCTGTCCTAGAATCATTTTCTTCATCCATGTGGATCTTTAGGAGGAAAACTGAGGTCTGTCTCCACAGCTCTCACCTATATAGAGACACCTTTCAAACTTTATCTTTTACTCCCTTGACCTCTTTCACATATACCTAACCACCTGTTGATTACTTCCATTTGGATGTCCTAGTATCACTTTAGATGCAAGACGACCAAAAGCCAACTCGTGATCCATGCACACCTGCCTAAACCGAATCCCAACCGTCCACTCCTTGCCCTCCCAAAACCTGCCACTCCCTACACTCCCTAACACATCCACAGGTCCACTACCCTGACCTTTACTCAGTCTCATGTTTAAGACCTCAGAACCATATCTGTCCCTTTCCTCTGCTTCCTCTTTTCTTTTCCATTCTTCATCAAGTGTTATAGCTCTATTTTGGAAACACTTCTCCGATCCATTATTCTTTTTTTTTTTATTATGTTATGTTAATCACCGTACATTCCATCATTAGTTTGTGATGTAGTGTTCCATGATTCATTGTTTGCGTATAACACCCAGTGCTCCACGCAGAACGTGCCCTCTTTAATACCCATCACCAGGCTAACCCATCCCCCCACCCCCTCCCCTCTAGAACCCTCAGTTTGTTTCTTAGAGTCCATAGTCTCTCACATCATTCTTTTTTTTTTTTTTAAGATTTTATTTATTTATTTGAGAGAAAGAGAGAGCACACAGAGAGGCAGAGGGAAAGGGAGAAGCAGACTCCCCACTGAGCAGGGAGCCCGACACAGGCCTCAACCCCAGGACCCTGGGATCATGACCTGAGCCAAAGGCAGACGCTTAACTGACTGAGCCATCCAGGCACCTCCATAATTCTTTTCTATTATTACTTTTGACGCCTCAAGCTCAGGTCCCTTCCTCTCTCACATTTCTGATGGGGTTGAAAATAACTGTGCGCGTGCATGCGTGTGTGTGTGTGCATGTGTGTATTCCTAGCCTTTGCCTCTACCCCATACACTAAATAAGGACATAGCTTTGCCTGATCAGCTTCTCCCCCTCATATTGTACCTCTCAGC